TAAAATCAATATTTAAAATTTTATTAAAAATTTTAAAATATGCAGACAAATTTGCCTGTGTTACAATCTAAGGGATAGGTTTAGTTGAATTTTTTCTATCTAAAAAGATTCCTAGATATCTAATTGTTTTATTTGATTTATGAGGTGTAATTGGTTAATTGTTAAAATTTATAAGTATTGTTTCTGAGTTGGTATTGGGTAATATTTTTGTATTAGGCATGATGTAAATTATGTCAGATTTAGATGGGTTGACTTGAATATTATTTAGTTGATAGAGTTCTGATATATCATCTAAAATATTTTGAAGATCATTTTTGGATTTGCAGTGCCAAACTGTGTTATCCATAAAAACAAGAGATGGTATTGTTGTATAAGTTTGTGAAGTTGAGAAGACTATTTCTAAAGAAGATTGTGATAAAATTTTAAGGAGTTTGGAGTTGTATTTTGAATTTATATAGCTAAGAATAGAATCATAGTATATTTTTCAGAGTAGTAGAGAATAGGTTTCTTCTTGTTCTATGCCTGAGTATAATGTAATCAGGTCAGTAAGGCTATAAGCTATAATTGCTTTAGCTTTTCTGTCTTGGTAAAGAAATTCAATAAAGTTTAAACCAGATTGGAGAATACCAATACATTTATAAGCATCCAATAACCATTTGATATTAATTTTGTCAAAGGCTTTAGACATATCTTGAAAGAGTATCCAAGCCTTCTTGTTGTTAGTTTTGTAATGTTCAATTGTGTTGAGTAATATTTATATAGAGACGTGGGTTGAGCTGTTTTTAGTTGCTGTAAAATTAAAATTATTTAATAGTTGATATTGAGTAATGATTTGGTCAAGGTGAATTGTAAAAATTTTAGTAAGACATTTTTTTATTAGTTTGATCAGTGATATTGGTCTGACTTGGTCTAATGTAAAATCCTATGAGAATTTTTTAAGGATTAGGAAAATGTTAGATGTTTTTCATATTGTTAGTATTTGTTGTAATGACAGGCATTTGGTTAAGAAAAGTCAAATAATATTTTGAGCTTTTGGGTTTAAACATTTTAAATGTTCATAATTTGTTTCTGATAGATCAGCTGCTTTTTGATTTGGAAGGTCATGTAAAACTTTGTTCTATTCTTCTAAAGAAATTTCTAAGAATAGATCAACAAAGTAGGGTTCATTTTCTGGTTGAGGTTTGTAAAGTTCATAGAATTTTGTGTTTTCTTGAATTGGTGTATAAGGTAGTTCTTTGAAGTAGTCTTGAAAGTAAGATTGTATAGCTTGTTTAATTTCAGTTGGTTGAGTAGTAAGTGTGTTGTTAAATAAGAGTTGATCTAAGTTAATGCTATTATTATGTTTTTTTAAGACATTGCAAAAAAATATTTTAGGATTTTGATAGAAGTTGTTATTTCTTTCTTCTAATTTGTTTTGAATTTATTTTAAGGTGTTTTCTTGTTTTTCTTTAGAAATTTGCATTTTAAGTGTTTTGATTTCAGTGGTATAAAGATTGGAAAGAATAGTAAAGTTTGAATTGTGATTAGTTGATGTATCGATATGACAAATATTTTTAACGTAATTATATATGTGTTGTGTGTAAATATAGGGTTAGAGCTATAGTTGGCGGTAGAATTATTGAATTACGGCATTTTACCAGATGGTAGAATTAATTACGGCACAGTACCTGATTGCCATAATACCGTATTGCCGTAATGCGATAATGCCGTAATGCTATAGTATCGAAGCAATTCTTGAATGTGTGCCAGGTTTGTGGCGCAGAAAAAATTCTTTAATTAACTATAGCAAAATTGTCCTGTCAGATCCTCGATTTTGATTGGCTAACGGGCGTGGATCTGCAAAATTTTGGCACACATTACTAATTTCTGGCCGGAATTAACTTTTTAACTTATTTATTCTTAAAATAGAAATTTTCAAAGAAATAAAACCACACGATGGTGAAATTAGGGTTGTGAAATTACCGTAATTTTACGTAATTTTGCGTAATTTTGTGTAGATTTTTGTAAAACGGTTTCCATGTAATTAGTAAAAAGGTTTGAAACTCGCAAAATTACACAAAATTACATGGAAATGTAAGATTGTAAAATGTAATTTTCAACCCTAGGTGAAATTAGCCCAGGAACAATTTTCACTTAATGGGCGGCTGTGATTTCGTTAGTTAAATTTTGAGTAATTCCAGCCAAATTTTCTGATCGTCGCTCTTAGCCAATCAAATCGAGAATCTGCCGGGACAATTTTGTTGTGCTATGTTTCAGGTTGCGCTAGTTTCGCCAGGTTTCGCCAGTTTCGCCAGTTTCGCCATTTCGTCTTTTTAATTTTTCTTTGGCGAAAGTCGAAACTAGGTTTCGCCTTTCGCCAGTGGCAAAACCTCTAGGTTTCACCTAACAACTGTAATAGTACTGAAAAGAAATGCACGCGTGCAAAGTATGCATTAATACCCCTTTTTTGGCTATATTTAAATGTTCAAAATACACATGCAATGCGAGTCGAGTTCCAAGTTTGACTTGTGACCGATCGATCTGTTAATATTCAAATTATCGTTATGGTATTGGTGCAATATTGTCGTGCGTCGTTGCACCACCTTCCCTTTAAAATCCTAGACGTTCTACAAATCGTAAGACCTCTCAATTACCTCTCAATTACTCTTTCGTTATAACGATGGTTTCTAGACAAAATTACCAGTATTCATTTTTTATTGTCATCTATGCCAAGGAACGTAAAAGTCAATAAATCCCGGAAGGAGATTAACCAGGACTTATAGGTGAAACAAAAAGGCTAAAGAGGAGAAACGCCTAAAAGAATTAGAAGATGAAGTTGAAAAACTCAAAAAAGAACTAAGTTCGGTAGAACGACAGTCTTACATTTATATTGGGGAAAAACAAGCTATGGCAAGAGAAATATCACAGCTTAAAAATGAGATTAAACAATTGACAAGTGGACCAATGTTACCTAATACAACCAATACTGGTAAGTTTAATTAATAAATTTTCCATATTTGCTTTTGGATATAATCAATAGAATTGTTTTATATATACAATATCGAAAAAAGCATTCTCTTTGTTGTTACTTTGTTATTTTGTACAAATTGAATACATTAAATTCACTAAAAGCAAAACATATGAACGTTCATTTTGGGGTTTAAATATTGAATAGTGCGATGATTGTTTGAGAGAATGAAATATCAGTAAATGTAAATAATTTAGTATTTTTTCGATATAGGTTTTGAAAATACAGTG